TACATTTTTCTTCGTACACTTTTAGGGTGGGGAGGGGGTCACTTTGTACACTTGTGAAAATGTTGATAATTGTGAACGACCCCTAACTATACAGCAGGGCTCCATCACCGCGTGGTCAGAACTCTGGGGAGTCTTAACACACTCACCTTGTTCGCGCCACGCAGCCTCCGTGTCGGGTCCAGACTCCTGCATCTGCTTCCTCATCTGAAACCCACCAATGACCAATTAAATTCATAAACAAATAATTTATTCAAATTCGTTGTTATATTCAACGAAAAATTTAACCGCGCACTGCAGCAGAGGGCTCTAGGTACATATTCGTGCCTTGGCTCACACAGCCTCCTAGTTTCTCCATGGCCACAGCTGATCATTTAAAGGGATCCTTTACTCTAGGTTCTAGGGCTATTTTCAGTTAATTTAGGTTGAAATTTCGCTACATAAAAAGTTTCATGGTTCAATCACCATTGGAAATATTTAAAAAAAAAGTTTTAAAACTAACGACTACAGTTTGATTACAACGACGGTGGCGCCACTCAAAGCGCACGATCTGAAAAGTTGCGCAAAACAACAGACGAGGGTGTTTCTTATTTATTAATTTAAAAGCAAAAGGATTGTAATATCTTATAAACGACATATAGTTTCAGTTATATTATGGATAAAATTGTCCTAAAATGAACATCGTTTGGTTAAATAGCATTTAGGTATAAATATAATTGCACCTTTGTGATTACCCCTCGATCTGTAACGTGCAAAATATATTGGGAAATGCGCAACTTTTTCAGGGTGGCAGAACGGGCGCGGGTGTCAATGGCGCCGTTCAAATTTCGTAGCGTTGATGTATAATTAATTATAACAATTAAATTAGGTATCTGGTAACAAGTACGTGTGGGTATAGACAATTTGTTACACAGTAAGTACAGTTGTATGCAGTAAAATCCTAGTCTAGTATCCCTTTAAATTCGCAGAAATTCTCACACAGCAACTTATTTTGTTAAAACAATATGTTATCGACAGCCCTCGCTCCAATATTTCATATCGTAGAATTGCTTAGAAGAGCAAAAATTTGCTTAAATATGAAATTTCATTCCGCCTTTCTCTTTAAAATTAACTGCTGCACACACAGTCAGATGCAGCCTTTGGTTACACAATGTGCTAGCTTTTACATGGAGATGCTGGCTTTCAGGCAGGAGGGGGGTGTGACAAGATCTCACCTTCTCCCGCGCGTTCTTGAAGTGCACGTATATCTGCGTGGCCCGCGTCAGTGTGATCTGTCGGAGCTGTGCCTCCGACGTACGTCGTTCCTTCGCCTCGCTCTGCTGCAAACACAGAGGGCGCCAAACATCATAGCGCGGCGCAAGCGCAGTGCGACACTCTCACATTCTAATAATGAGGCTATAACAGTGTATAATATTCATATAATGGCTATTTGTACAATTTCTTTCTCAAGGCATTCTGTAATTTCGCCCAGCTGTTGCCCCTCTTTTGCCTTTTCAACCATAGAATTCCTTCGTCCTTTAAGCTTCGTTAATTAAGTGAAATCGCCAGTCGAGTTCCCCTCCCCCCAAAGCTCTCCTCCCTCCCTCCCTATGCTTCCTCTGTTGTGACATCAGAGGTTCCTCTTACAGGGGTAGAAATGAACTTTTGAACAAGGAAGTCCAACGAACTGGACTCCCTACTTTCAAAAAGAGGGAGTCCGCAGCAAAATGAAGGAGTCTGCAGTCTGAGGTTCAAAATTAAATAAATCAAATAACGCATGTGCTTATTTTTAAGATTCATGCGGTTGCACGTCTGCCAAATTTTGTTAGAACATTAGCTAAAAAAAATACGGTAATTCCGCGAGGCCGTGCTCCGGAACAAACTAGTTAGTATAGCAGAATTTTCAGGGAGTCACACGGACTCCTGCATATGTCAAATCAGGGAGTCCGACAGTAAATCATGCAGGGAGTATTTGACTCCGGACTCCCGTTAATTTTGCACCCTG